ATTAAATATATATGAATCTGGGGGATACGATGTGTTACGAGAGAGAGAGAGAGAGAGAGAGAGAGAGAGAGAGAGAGAGAGAGAGAGAGAGAGAGAGAGAGAGGGGGGGGGAGGTGGATAAGGGGGCCCACTTTTGTATTTAATAATAATAATAACTATTTTAAAAAGTAAAAGAAAAGTGAAAACAAAATTCATTAATGATATAATAGTCTTTTTAGTTTGGACAAGGACCAAAACTTTAAACAAACTAGCTCAAAAGATCATCGATTCAAAAAATTCGTGGTTTGGATCAAAACCCCAAAAAATTCATGTCACAGGGACCATTTTTGCAATTTTGTATTTTATATATGAAAAAAAGCTTTTTCTCCATCTTTTTAAAATTTTCATAAACACCTTTTCAATTTACAAGGTTCCATAAATTTATTTAGTATCCTTTATTCAATAATTTTAAATATATATTATTAAATAAATAGTTCATATAAAAATGAATCAAATTAATTTTGATATTAATAAAACGACCAATTTATCAATTAAATAATTTTATTCATAACATGTTGAGATAAATATATACAGTCATTATTGAAACATTGTGCATTATTTGAAAAATATAACACATACATTTAAACACGTTATCACATTATAAAACTATTCGAAATATTAAAAGTTAAATATATTTATTTAAGGGTGAATTTCATATGTACCCTTATTAAACATTCAAATATCATATTTGTCAGTTTCTAAATATCATATTTGACCATAATAAAATTTCAAAATATCAAATTTGTCCTAAGCTTGTTTTTTAATATTTCTTAATATATTATAATCATTTTAAATTCTTATTTTTATCGATTGACTATTATATCCTTTTTAAAAATTTATAATATTATCTATGCCCATTCATAAACTTTAAATATATCATTTTTACCAAACTTATTAGTGTGCGCAATTTAAACAACGGCAAATCATATTTATTGTAAGGAGCATATAACCATTGCAGTTAATGGTTAGGAACATATAACCATTGCAAATAATGGTTTATCTTCAATTCTTCATTTAATCGCATACTCTTCCTTCATATGCTTGTTTAAAATTGACTTTACTAACATGGATCTGACATATCTCATTCCTTAAAGAATGAATTTTATTGAACCATTGCCTCAAATTATATCATATACATAATTTACTTCCTTCGATTAATTATCCATATTTGTTGCTCATGGAGTATTCACAATGATACTCTTGCAATGCACTATTAAAAATTGATATTGGTTCTTCTTCTAAGAACCTCGAACAATTCACCGTCATATTTTTTATTAAAAAATACTTAAAAAATAGATTCAAACAAATATGATATTTCAAAAAATTAAAAAGGGTAAATATGATATTTTGTTTTTTAATAAGGGTATATGTGATATTCACCCTTTATTTAGAACAAATGTATATTTAAAATATAACAATATAATTAAATAAATTCAAAGTATATAATTTTTTTTTTTTTAATAATTCAAATAAACTAAATATTCAACAAATTTAAATCTATTATAATCTATCATAATAAATGAAAATCAATTTTGACAAATGTGTTATTTTCATTGCATTTTTTACATGCCATTTTAAAAATATATATATTTTATGTATTTTTTTTATTAAATTCCACATATCTAATGTAATAATTGTAATAAATGTAATAATAAATTCCATATCATATTAATTAATGTAAGTTTCCTTTTTAATTTCTAAGTTTCTAAATTTAATCCAATTTTATTTGTTTATTTGTTTAAATTTAAAAAAAAAATTAAAAAAATAGTTAAATATAACAAATTGAACATTACATTTAAATAATTCACAATGTTTATTTCTTTCTTTATAAATTCAAACTTCCTAACTTTATAAATATTCATATTTTTTCAGTAAACTTGTGTAATACACGGGTTTCACAAATAGTATATATATATATATATATATATATATATATATATATATATATATATATATATATATTTGTCAAATGTCATACTATCATTCAATTTAACATATGTCATTTGGATTTTTTTTTCCACGTGTCATTTTATGGTTTTTTTTTTTTAATTTATTTTTTTCCACATCTCTCTTCGGATGGGAAATTCTATGTTCGAGATCTCCAAAGATTGATTGACTCGAGACTTACTACTCTAGTGAAAAACTCTACCGTTTGGATCAAGTTGGTTCCTTTAAAAATCATTTGTTTCAATTGGCGTGCTTGCATGGATCGCATTCCATTTGCGATTGCACTTTCTTGGAGAGGTATCAGAATTCATGTTACTTCATGTTATAGTTGTGACTCGGGGCTGGATGAAACGAAGCATATTTTTCTTAGATGTCCTTTTGCTATCGAGACATTAGATAGGATTCTTTAGTTGTGTAATATCTCTCCCCATCTAGCTTCATATGTTAATGGGTTGGTTAACTTTATAGACCATTAGGGAAATTATCCAAAAAAATAAGCTTTTCGTAGCCTTCATCTGTGGCTATTTACGCGGGGGGGGGGGGGGGGGGGGGGTAGCGGGCTCGGAATGACAAAAGTTTCAATAAAACATGTGTTTCTTCTTTGAAATTGGTGGATAGTATCATCACGGTGTTTAGTTGGGTAAAGCATAGGGGTATTTCAGAAATTATAACGGGTCTAATGTGTTTGTCTTTTCCACATGATCTAACTTTTTCTGTGTTTTTTGCCCGGCCTTCGTCATTTAGAAAGTGGTTTTTTTAATATAATTCCATCATTTCCCAAAAAAAAATTATGGTGTTTTCATTTTATTAAATTTCATATAATATTTAAATGTAATAATTGTAATAAATGTAACAATTAATAGATATCAATTTCATTAATAGATTTTTTTTTCTAATTTTAAAATTCGTAAATTAAGGCCCCATTAGTTTCTTTGTTTATCTATCTATTTTTTTTTTTTAATTTAAAGGAGAAAAAAATACAAATCAATTTTAAATTTTTTATTTTTAAAATTTTCTTATAAATTTAAATACTTTAACTTTTCTTTTAAACTTATTTAAGTCTCGTAACTAATAGTGAAATAAAAGTTAAAATAAAATAATAAATTATGCAATTTTATATTTGTTGTAATATTATTATAGCCAAAATTTAATATCAGTGAGCTTACTAGTGGAGCTGGAGATGAGGTACACATTATCCTCGTGTATTTTTTGATTTTTCGTCTCAATAATTCGTAGTCGTGAGAAAAAGGTTTATCATGTCCATAACTTCAAATCAAACCAACCAATAATCAACTTCGACACTTGGATTGCTGCTTTCTGAAAGATGATGCACAGCCACACACAAGAGAATGAGAATGAAGGTGGTGAAGAGACGAACATGGCAGCTTGGCTTCTTGGAATCAAGCACCTGCAAATTCAACCTTACCATCTTCCTCCTCTAGGTTCTTCTTCTTCTTCTTCTTTCCCAATCATTTCACCTGCAACAGAAATAGAATCAAAATACTCTACACTCCAATTACAAAACTTAAGATCCAAACCGGGTAAAAACTAAAACATTCTACAGAATCTTCTTACACTTGATTTTTGTTCAACGATTTAGGCCCTAACGATGTAAAAGTCCAGATCAAGGCTCTCGGAATTTGTGGGAGTGATGTTCATCACTTCAAGGTACGTAAACGTAAACCTCCCTTCTAATTCGTATCCCAGACAGATGCTTAATTAATTCAGTTCATTGATTACGATTTGATTATTTAGAACATGCGAGTTGCAAATTTCATAGTGAAAAAACCAATGGTACTCGGACATGAATGTGCTGGAATCATCAAAGAAATCGGACACGACGTGAAAAGTTTAGCAGTGGGTGATCGAGTAGCCTTGGAGCCTGGTATCAGTTGCCAAAGCTGTAATCTTTGCAAAAATGGAAGGTACAATTTATGCAGAAAGATGAAGTTCTTCGGTTCTCCCCCAAACAACGGCGCTCTTGCAAATCAGGTAAACCTACTTAATCTCCCTGTTGCTAAATGCAGAATAACAACTCGATTTTCTTTCGAATCATTCACAGGTGATTCACCCTGAAAATCTGGTGTTCAAGTTACCTGATAACGTGAGCTTGGAAGAAGGTGCCATGTGTGAGCCACTTAGCGTTGGTATACATGCTTGTAGACGGGCCAACGTCAGCCCAGATACTAAAGTCTTGATCTTTGGAGCTGGGCCTATTGGGCTTGTAACCATGCTTGCAGCCCGTGCATTTGGAGCACCCAAAATCATCATTGCTGATGTCGATGATCTTCGATTATCATTCGCAAAGGACCTTGGTGCCGATGCCACCATTCAAGTCTCAACAAACATCCAGGTTTTTTTTTTTTTTTTTTAATTGATGATATTATATGAATTATCAAGTCTTTAATTAATGTACGTTTTTTATTTTATTGGACAGGATATAGAAAAGGAAACAACAATGATTTTTGAAGCCATGGGTGAGAGTGTTGACATAAGCTTTGACTGTGTCGGGTTTGATAAAACAATGTCAACGGCTCTGAATGCCACCCGGGCTGGTGGCAAAGTCTGCCTTGTGGGATTGGGACAGACTCACATGACTATCCCTTTGGTTGCTGCGGCTTCAAGGTTCTTTCATTTACATTTTACTTCACACACACACACACACAGAGACAGATTGATGACATGAATTTCTGATGACAGGGAAGTTGACGTTATTGGGATATTTAGATACAGAAACACATGGCCACTATGTATTGAGCTTCTAAGAACCAAAAAGATTGATGTGATGCCACTTATAACTCACAGATACAACTTTACACAACAAGATGTCGAGAAAGCATTTGAAACAAGTGCTCAGGGTGGTAATGCGATTAAGGTTATGTTTAATCTTTGAGGCTGATTTGTTAAAGTATGTAGTATAGGGACTAGACAATAAAAATATTATTGTACGTTAAGTATGTTTAATCTTATATGTATACTTTTGTAATAATTTATGTTTTGTATCCAAGATTGTCTTAAACTTGCAAAGAACTCCAACCTAATGGTTTAAACACATGGCCTTTTTTTAACAACTTTCTCATATTCATAGCATCATCCCATCTCTCAGCAGTTGCATAAATGTTTGATGAAAGAACATAATTCCCACTGTTATCAGGATCCAATTCAAGGAGTTTGTTAGAGGCAATCTCTCCTATGACTATGTTTCCTTGAAGCTTACAAGCACCTAGTAACATCCTCCATATTATCACATCTGGATTCATTGGCATTTCTTTCATAAACTCATATGCTCTTTCAACATCACCTGATCTACTCAACATATCAACTACACATCCATAATGTTTCATTTCTGGATGCAATCCATACTCTCTTTTCATGCTCTCAAAATACTCCAAACCTTTATCCACCATGCCAGCATGAGCACAAGCAAGTAACACCCCTACAAATGTTCCATGAGTTGGCTTCGTGTTCATCTTGGAGAAGAGGTCCAGGGCGTAATTGGCATTTCCATTCACAGCAAGTCCTGAAATCACTGAGGTCCAGGAAACCGAATCTTTGTGTTCCATTTTTTGAAACACTTGTAATGCTTTTTCTGTTGAACCACATTTACAGTACATATCGATCAAAGAGTTCCCAACGTATAAATCCTGTTTTATGTTGTTTTTACAAATGTAGTCATGGACAGATTTGCCCATATCGATTGACCCTAGATGAGCACATGCAGAGAGCACGCTAGCAACTGTGATTTCATCAGGTTTAATGTTTGTGTTCATCATGTCGATAAAGAGGGTTAATGCATCAGAGAATTGAGAAACTTGAGAGTAACCAGTGATCATAGTAGTCCATGAAATGACATCTCTTTTTGGCATTTTATCAAATAGCTTCCGTGCATTGGTCAAGTCGCCTGCTTTTGCATAACCTGAGATCATGGCATTCCAGGAAACCATATTCCGTTCCTCCATTTGATCAAATACTTCACGAGCCAAATCCATTGAACCATGTCTTCCATGCATATCGATTAAAGTGTTTCCAAGGTAAACATCCGTTTTAATGGTATTATCTTTAATGTACTTAGCCATGGACAATCCGATGCTCTTGTCACCTATGTTGATGCATGCTAATATAACCTTCACCATTGTTACCGAATCAGCGATCAGATCAGCTTCTTGGAGAAGATCAAAAAGACGTAAAACCTCTTTATATCTGTTAGATTGACTATACCCACAAATCATGGAGTTCCAAGAAACCAAGTCTCTCTCAGGCATTTCATCGAACACTTTCTGCGCGCGTTCCAACTGCTTGCATGAAGCATACATATGAATCAGTGAGTTGCAAACATAAAGATACGATCTGAAACCCATCTTAAACGAATGTGCGTGAATTTTTCCTCCATAGCTAGCATCTTGAGCACGACCACAAGCTTTTAAAACATATATAGAGGTCAGGTTATTTCCTATCAATCCTCGGACCCGCATTTCATCAAACAAATGGAGTGCAAAAACAGGACGATCGCTCCGCGAGACGCATCGGATCAGAATGTTCCAAATAGATAAAGTGGGTCTTTCAATTTGGTCAAATATGAAAAGGGTTCTCTGCAGATTACTTGGCTGAAGAGAATAGGATTGGATTACGGGAAATATTGATGATGGGTCAGTGTGGAGATGGGTTTTAATCAACCGAGCGTGAAGCTCTTTAACGAATACCAATTTCTCCATCAACCCACGATTTAAACAGGGATCTCTGAAACAGGGGAACTTGGAATTTACGTCTTCATTAAGTTAAAATAGAATCACTGTTGGCAGTTGAATAGCGACATCTTGATTTAGGGTTTATAATGATCACTTGAGTGGAAGATAGTTGGTGCCGTGCTTGAAGATATTAGATAAACATGCCACTTGTGGTGAAGGTTCTGTTTGTTTCTCTCCGAAGATGAAAGAGAAAGAGGAGATTTGGACGAATCACATCTTATTTAGGTTGAGGAGAAGGCATGGACGGCGCCTGCCATTTTCAGGTTACTATTCAAAGGATACTCGTAAAATAACCACATAATTTTTTAGAATTAGAGTGAATGATTTAACTTTTATTATATTTATCAAAATAATCATAAAACATGAGTATTTTGGATTTTTAAAATATATAATTTTGAATTTGTCTTCATGCAAACCGATGAATTTCAAAAAATCTTTGTTTGCCTTTAAACCTTTTGTTTTTTCAATTCACAATCGACAAAATTGCAACAATTGTCCGTGAGTTATGCAATTTTTTTTTTTTTTTTTCTTTAGATTTAGTTTAAACCTCGATTTTTTTTAGGTTAGTGATCATTTTGAGTTAGTTTGCTTACAAGTTTGATCCCTGTCCAAACTAAAAAGACTATTATACATTAATGAATTTAATTTTCATTTTTTTCACTTATTGAAATTATTATTATTATTATTAAATATAAAAGTGGACTCTCTCTCTCTCTCTCTCTCTCTCTCTCTCTCTCTCTCTCTCTCTCTCTCTCTCTCTCTCTCTCTCTCTCTCTGCATAACGATATCATTCTGAGTTTTCTCAATCCATCTAGCCATCCCCTTCTCTGCTTCTCATGCTCGATTCTCTTGCAAAGTATTCTGAACCTAATTTCTAAATCCACAAAGAGATAAAGGTTTGATGAAAGCTTCCGATTTTCATTTCTGATTTCCTTTTGTTTCTCATCCTTAGTTATAATCAAAGGCTTAAAGTTTCTGATTAGGAGATAAAGTCTCAAAGGTTTCATATCGGTTCTAAATCGATTAGGAGATAAAGTCGATTCTTTTAGTATTTGTTACAACCTCATTCTAGGTAGTTTGATACGGCCAAGTGTAACTTGTATAAACATACGGTATGTAGTATTTGTCACACAAAAGGAATGCACACCAACTGTTTGATAATATGTGTCAAACCATGAGATCCTGCCATATGTTTACACTTTGAAATTCTAGAAACTTACGGGTATATGTAACTATGAGTTGTAAATCCGGTTTAATTTACACTGTTTTCATATTAAATAGGTCCCCTTTTTGGAATACATCTTCTCCAAGGTGGACTGTGATTGTGAAATCGTGGGAGAAATTAAATCTTTTAGTTGCGCATAACATACTATATATATATATATATACACACACACACACACACACACACAATCTTATTTACCTTATATTGCTTATAACAAGGGATTCACAAATCACATATATATGATATATGATCTGTAATGCGAGCATTAAACTAATTATTTAATCCCATGATTTGTAGCAGAAAGTTAGCTTAAGAAGTATGTTGGTTGAAGCAGCAATTAGAGGAGTAAATGAAGAAAGAGCAAATATATTTGGTCGTGCACTTAACACAACTGGTCAAGGATTGTCCAGTGTAAAATCCATAAAAATCATGCCAAATTTAGACTTTTTAAAACATTTCAAAACCAATGATTATTACAAAACTTGTTTTCAAGATAGTATAATGTCAAAGTATCCCAGAATCAAAACATGAAAACATAAGGAGGTGCACGAACGTGCCTTTGCCTTCCCTCGATCTATAGAAGTACCTGAAACAATAATCGATAAATGTAAGCTTAAAGGCTTAGTGAGTTACCCCTAAATAACCAACGCCATAAAACATATCAATAACATTTAAGCAAACAACATGTATAATGAGCCTTCAGCCTGACTAGACCGCCTTGCGGGCCTTCAGCCTATCTGGTGTTGGGTTTTAAGCATATCTACATTCTTATGTGATCATGCAACCCTAGTTTTTTAGGATCTATGTTTTCTCTATTGGACATGCAAGTATTGAACACGAAACCAAGAAACCATAGGAGACATATGTAATTTTCGAAATTAACATATAATTAGGGTTAGGATACATACCTTTATTTTTATATTGTAATAACAAACATATCCTTGAAGATCTTGAACTTTTGTAGCAAGCGCCACAGTGTCGCGCCTCTAATGACTCACAAACAAACCTAGCAACCAAATATTACTATGGAGAGAGAGAGAGAGAGAGAGAGAGAGAAGGAAGTGGAAAATTCGGCTCTAAGCCTTTCTTGGAGTGCATGGGACGAAATCCAACCCTATAGGGGTTTATATAGGTGATAAGGAAGGTTTAGGATAAGGCAGGTGTATCTTAGATAACCCTAAGCCCTTAACTTCATCCCTAAAGCTTCCAAGGCACCCTTAGAGCCGAAGGAAACCCTAAGACACTCTAGATTTCATTCCACCCCTCTATGGAAGGTTCTATAATGATCAACGCTCAATTTTTGAACATTGTCACCTTTAGTCCCTACAGTTTCAATTAATTCCTTTAATCCTAAAATTATTTCCAAATTAATTTCTGATTAAATATTAATTAAACAATATGATTTCTAATTAATATATTTTACCCACAATACATTAGTAAATCATTTATCTTGATTTCAAATTAATTTATTAACCAAGTAATAAATTAATAAATCATTCTTCTCTCTCTAACAGTTATCCTATTCAATTGTCAGGTTTAAAGGCATCCCAAAAGGACATTGCTACTATCAATTCAAGTTTATACCAATTATAGTTATGGGCTTAGACACCTAATCCAACAATCTTCCACTTGGATAAGTCTAATAAATATAACTGCTAGTATAACTACCAAATTGACTAGTAAATTGTAGCTACCAAAAGCCATTGTCGAACTCTAACCTAGTCAGTGACGTGTCCTTATATAAGGGATTAAATATTCCTCCATTCTGCAAGATATCATATGGACATGAGATATGGATTATAATCAATCTCTGTCCAATAGTCGTTTCTCGATTTCCTATTTATGACGACCGACTAATTAAACAAATCAAATCAGTCCGGGCTTGGCCAATCGCTTAGGTTGTCATCACTAAATCATCGAGGGGGCCTACAAATATCGCGTTTATCCCCTTGGACTAGCGGTTATGAATTAGAAATAGCAACAGAAGAACGGGTGAGGAGGATGAACAGAGACCACCTTGGACTGAAGCACCATTGACCACCGACTAGCGGCGCCTCCGTCTTCAACTGTTGGAGTGCGAGGGGCCGACAATGAAATAGTAGCGAGATGTACCTTCGCCGGCAGCCAAACCATGATGGCATCTCAATGGTGAGGCAGCAGGCGGCGTCGTTCGGGACTCCATCTGATCGTTGGCGGCGACTGGGGAGAATGAGAAGGAGGTGGCGCCGAAGATGGAAGGTATAAGGTGAAGGTGGCAGCTGGATATGATATGCTAGGGTTAGGGTTACATAAAAGCTTTTATACCCGATACCATCCCAAACTTAATTCCATAATGACGCCTTTAGCCCCTCCCCTCCCATTTTCTTTCAAAGCAAGGCCAATAAATTACCATTTAAGTCCCATAAACTATCAAATAGCCCCCAATATCTTAATTATGACATAATCAAGCCTTCCGCCTTATTTCATTTTAAATTAGACCCAAATAATTACCACAGAGCCCCTGACCTCATAAATACTTACAAATTAAGTCTGGAACTCACACTTTTAACCCCTGACTTCTAGAACGGTGACAATTAGCCCTTCGAGACCATCCTTTGATATATAATTATTTATTCTAGGGCTATGAGTCCTTCATTTATTTATTTAATAAATAAACGGGTGTTACACAAGCGCTCCAAACCTCTCCCAGGTGTCCAAACCCCCTTCTGTATGATCTGTTCCTTTGGCACTTGATTCGTTCCTTTGTCAGGAGATCAATTCCTTTCTCAGATGATTTGTTCCTTTGTCACATGCTCCATGAACCCTAAGTGATCCATTGTGATTTTAAGTGCCCCATGTTGAACATAACTTCATACCCCAACACTTCTATAAGAGATCAAGTATTATTTCCTTTTTTAGGGTTTTCTTGAGCTTAATCCTGATTATTTTGTAGTTCTAGAGGGTTGTTTCTTGTTTTTTTAATCATGGGTAACAATCGAATATTCAAACATAACAAAAATCTTTGGAAAAAAATTGAATTGCATATGATGTTCATAGTGGTTTGAACTTGGATGAGAGCTCTGAATATTACACAATCCGTCGTAGCCTAACTAGAGAAACGGGGCCCTTCAAGGGTTTTTGGCATCCATATTCTCATGTGGGCCATGAGTTATGTTAACATGGGCATTCCAAATGGTGGGGTTTTCTATTAGTTTTTATATTTTATATAAGAAAAACTTACAAAAATGTTTCATATGGTTTGTCAATTTCTTTGGGTAGGATCCAAAAAAATTTATTAGCAAAAAAGGTCCCTATTTGGTGGTTTTGTTGTGGTTTTGGTCCCCTACCTCGTTAAGTTTAACAGCATGACTGTTAACTTTTGACAAATAACAGATTTACCCATAGGTCTATTTCTGTAGTTTTATCTTTTTACCAAACTACAAGGACCACTTATGCAAATTTTCTTTTTCATTTTATTGAATTATTGTATATTAATTCTTTTAATTATTTTTTTTTAAACTTTTTTTTTTTCGTATTGTATTATTTTTTTATTGGATTATTATATATTAATAAACATTATTTTTAATATATTATATTTATATATTAATAAATATAACTTTTAATTATTATTTTTTTTGAATTTCTTCTTTATTGCATTAATTCTTTTTTTGCTGGATTATTATATACTAATAAATATTATTTTAACATATACTATTTATCTATTAGTAAGTGTTACTTTATTAGATTATTAATTTTAATTAAT